CCGCATAACTAGGTACAGATAGAACAGGATCAGAATCCTTCTAGACGTCTATCAGCTCGTATCCAGGGCCCCCCTTTCATTTGACACATCAAACACACACACAACCCCCCATATACAAAGAAAACACCACAACCAGTCCCTCCAGGATCAGACAAACACACAAATCCTCCATGACGCAAAACACGCACATCTTTCCTCGGGTCCCATTCCGCGCCCATTATTCATTCCCGCGGGTTCGGGGATCCTCATGAATCATTTCGGTTCTTTTTTCCTATCTGTGGATCGCCGTATCTCTACATACCTTGCTGTGTACTCCGTAGATACCTACCTCCATACTCCAATACCAATCGTGATAATATGGCGCTAGGTATTGGGGTAGAACTAGCTAAGTAAGCCACTACATAACAGCCTTAACTAAGGAGGGAATGTGGTGTATGCACTTAGGAAATTAGCACGTAGCTTGGCATCCACAATGTCCATCCCACTAGTTAGTTAGTTATGCAGAAACATATTACTAAGAATTTAGACAGCAGGTCTCTCGAACACTAACCACTATCGTTCCACGGAAAACTGGAGATTCCAAAAAATAAATAAATAAATACATGAATACTAATCATAATAAACCAGCCCACAAAGCGCGTAACCAAAAAGAAAAAAGATAAAACGGACGGTCCTCTATCCTGAAACATCTCTAGTCACAATTAGACTACGAGGGACAGGACCTATTTTCTTGTAGCGGTCAAAGAGGTGTGGGGGGAGGGGGGCTCTGGACCACCAGTTTCGGAACAGAAAAGAAGGTGGCAGAAGCCAGGTCATACTAGTAAAGTAATTTAATTCGATTTACAGAGGACTGGTTCCCCAGAGGGAACTGTTGAAAACAGCCTGATGGCAAAAAAGAAGAGAGAGGACGGGGTTACTTGAACTAAACCCAACCAGGGAAGAGCACTGGGTTTGTGGTTGCCACGTGGTTTTTTTGTTACTAGGTGTTTTTTTTCGCTGTTTAACTGCCTGTAACGGGGGTAGCAAGGTAATTTACCGGAATAGGTTCTGGGTCCTTATTCCTGTGTGGTTTGGTGGATGTTATTTATTGATTTGTCTCGTTTTTTAAATTTTCTGGCTAAGTCTGGGGGCGACAGGGATTGTTATGAAAGGACGATTTCCTACATCTAGTTACCGAAGTTAATGAATGAGTATCGGCGCTAGGATTTCCACTCTATTCTGATTTCATATCTATCTCCAGCGCATAGACCAGTTCGCTGCGTTGCCACTACCTTCCTACTAGTACAGTGTAGGTATTTTCCTGCAAAAGGGGGAAAGGGGGGAAATCTGGGATTGGATCTCGAGATTTGATCCGTTGTTCCTTTTCTTGCTTCCATTTTCCCGGTTCGAGATAGGTTTGCTTGTGTCGGCGGTTCCAGACAAGCACTTCTGGGCAAGAGGACAAACGCGGAAAGACGAGAATACTATTTCCGTACATGCAGCTGACTAAGTCATCCCATCGTCATCAGCACAATTAACTATAGATAGCAGCGATCCTCCAAAATTGGGATCCCCTGAAACAAAAGATTTGATATCTAGACTTGACTTTGGGGCCGGAATATGCCTTTTTCGTCCAGACGGTCAGGGACCCCCGACGGCAAGTTCCGAAATTTCCTATCCTATCCATTGCCCGATTAAACTTCCATGTGACAAATTGAGGTTAAGGGGCGGCAAAAAAAGCAAAAAAGTAAAAAAGAAAAAAAAATTGAACCAAGAGAGTTTAGACTAGCGAGATCTACCGAGACAGGAGCGAACTCCATCTGTATCAGATCGGAACCGGTCTGAATATGATATCATCCCCGGTATGGGTTCAGAGATTTAACGAACAGAAAAGAACAAACGACCGAAGTCCCGCTCCCATCCCACGGTATGGTTAATAACCGTTTAATCTTACTTCGCGGACAACGTCCGGAGACGGTGTTGTTCTCCGAAACAGAATCCGAGGCTCTCAGGGGGCGACGCTAGAGGTTTTCCAGAAGGGTTCTAGAACGCCGCTAGAAGGTGGATTAGATTCACTAGTGCCGTATCCGAGGAGATTAATGATTCCATAATCTATGATCCATGACTGACTTGTGAAGTAGTATCAGAAAAAAAATACTACAGAAAAAAACTGGGTACTTCCGTCCGGGTCCACGATGAGGTAAGGAGATCTGTGGGCTGATATTCTTGTCATGATGTAATTGATTGCTTTGAGTTTACGTGTCGCTATGGGGACTTTTTCATGAGGCTGGTGATGGGAGTATAGTTAGATGGGAGGATCGATCGCATGTCCATTAATTTTTTTTGTCTTGGTTTGGGGTTGAAATTAGGGGCATTAGATCATAATACAGCTAATCTCCCACCAAACTCTGTTGATTTGAGATCTGTAGAATGTCAATCGGAGAACCCCGTCCAGCCATCATTGAAGTAAAATTTTCTTTGAGCCACAAACTCAATATCAAACGCAAAGAAAAAAGAGAGGAAAAAAAAGTTTCCGAGCCACGCATCGGGTCTGTTTGCTGGAGACTGCACGTGGAGGATCTTCCGGGAAGGCGGTAAGTTGAACCTTGTCCGTGACACAGCATTACATCAGCTTTCCGGTTCCGTCGTATCCTTTCGCCGTATCAATACCTGTATTGGTACGGAACTGAGCTGGTAATCTACGATGTCAATGGACGTCAACAGCAGATGCCGAACAGGGATTGGAATTGCTACGGTACACTGCAGATACCCATGTGGCCTCCGGGTGTCCATCAAACGTCAGGGCCAAGGCTGTTGCCTTGGCTGTAGGCCACCGTTAATGTCCTACGGTCTCCAAGCATGTTTGATACCTTGCAGCCCGATGACCAAACACAGCGACCTGTGGTACAGAAGGCGACGCCAGCAAGGGGATGGCCCAAAAAACCAGGCCGATACCTCACGTTGGCGGGTGAAGCTTCTCATTTGGCAGGTGCAGATCCTTGCTTCCACGCGAAGGAGGTTAAGTGGTTGCTTGATAGAGTCTAGAGGGTCCACTGAGAGACTAAAGTCCCTAGTAGTCAGTCCGAACTTCAGGGGCGGATGCCTGAGGATGAGAGTTACTATGTATAATCATCCTCGTCCACTGCCGATATGAACAGGGTTGATTTGGAATCGGTCGAGGGAGCTACGACTTAAAACGGTATATGCTCGCGCATATCATGCAACGTTTCTTAGCAGATCTCAATTGGCATAAGCTGATCGGAATGAAGCTGATCGACCCTATTGGACGGTGGCCCCAGGCCACCAGCCTGCCTTAGCGACGTCGCTAAACAGCTAAACCTGGTTCGGAGGTAACAGGGATGTTGGCGCTTGATTGCATTCTTCCACGGTGTCCATGTTGGTTTCATCTCGCCCTCCTCTCGCGTGAAAATGTCGCTCCCCGCTGCCCTGGACCTCTTGGGAGGGGGTTTCAGGATCAGACCATGCCAATGGATTCACATCCATGAGTGAATCAATATTTCGGATCCGATATCATCCATCGTGTCGGGAAATTAGTCTAGTCAGCGCAACTGAACCCCTCCCTCTCTTTCTCTGCAGTCAGATGCATAACGAAGAGAACAGATGCATAAGCCGGACAACGTTGGCTTGGTTGACACTAATCACCCTCCGATCCGTACGCCGAGACCAGTGAGTTGTAACTCCTCTTCAGTAGGCAGGAGAAGGACATTTCATGCATTAGTGTGGAGAACGCGCCGCTGATTCGCTGGCTGTTCGATATACGGTTGAGAAGAACCAGGATGACAGGCGAAGAGCCAGGAGGTTTAAAACTTAGGGCTAACCGGAAAAGAGCGTCTCCATCAGCCTCTACGCAGTAAGAGATACTAGTACTAACCTCCGGCCAGGACTAATTTCGGACAGTGGTAACTCGATCCGTGTTAGTCTCGTCGCCAGTTTGCACGAAGGATGAAAGAGCCCTCTACTATTCTCTTTTGATACTTCAGACATGGAGCTAGACAGGGCACCCATGCATCGTCCAGAGGGGGTCGCACCGGATTCGCTTCTCGACCCGTCATTCGAACGGGCTGAGTAACTTTGACCAGCAAGCGTTAAAGGGGGAAAACGAAAACGAGAAAAAATGATGCAATAAGAAACCAGGAAAATCCGGACCACAGGCATGCCTATAATTATCATAACTATTCGTATTATAGCCTCGTTGACAGTCCAAGCTAAAATGGCACGCTATCCCCAACATCTCCATCTTTCTCCACATGGCTCTTTCTTCACGCCCCTGGCAGGTTTGTCAGTTAATTAATCGGACCACTCTGCAGCGTCCGAAAAAGGCCCTGTTCTGTGCCCATGCCTCTTCATGAACTCCCTCAATCCACCACCAACCCGGACTCAGTCTAGTCTCCCTGTTGATTAATCAAATTTAGTTCCATCGTTACATCCATCATGCATGTCTAGACCGGACGGAGACTCGCTTACTCTGATGATCGCCCAACCGCTAATAACACAGATCTTATAGGCCCATGGAGCACTCCATTTTCTTTCACAATCATGCAATATATGGGGATTGACTTACTCTATAGGGGAGGGGGGGAACTCCTTTGCCGTCGGACATGGCCGAACTAATCCGATACCCAATCTTGCGTATTGATTAGTACAATATGCTATCTATGTTCCCCGGTGATAAGAGGATCAAAAGAGAAACAGAAGACGTTTCATTATAATTTTCTTTTTCCTTGGCCGTTGCCTTTAGGGGCATCGGCCGAGTTGATCTTGCATTGACCGCTTGTCAGCGAAGTCCTCCTTCGACGCTATGTAAGCCCTGAGAGAAAGAGGGTCACTAAAGTATGCACATCCTAAATTAACCCAAAAATTAACCGTCGCGCCACCATTTCCCCAGAGAACCACCTGATCCAGCCATGTCAACCACTCTTCGAAGCTAATTTCCACCCGGAACATCCGACCATCTGCTGTGCCACTGCCTCCGCCAACCGGACTGATCAGCCCCCAGCTGATCAGCTTCTCCCACGCTTCACGTGCGACGTCCCGACCCAGACGCGTCCAGGGGTTGCGGCGGCGCCGGACACGGAAGCCGATGTCTTAGCAAACGTCAAAAGCCGGACGTATTCGGCATATGCGGCGGGGAATGAAAGCGCCAAAGGAGCCAAACTCTGAGGCTGTGTCGCTTCTAGACCCGGGTCATACAACGCAGCCAGCCGGGTGGCTGCCAGCAACAAAGATAGGGGCAGCGACGAGGGACTGGCAGAGGTCGTCGTCGAGGTGGAGAAAGGTAGAGGTCCGGGATCTGGACAAGATAGGCTTTGGCTGCTAAAAGTGGTTGGCGTTGGGATCTGGAGCGTGGCAGCTCCGCCTGTGGGGTCGTAGCTGCTGTAATGCAGCTCCGTCATGCCAATCAAAGCGCTGGTAAAGAACTCCTTCGCCGATCTGGTTTGGAAGAATATCCTCCGTAAATGCGCTTGAAACGCCTCATCACTCCACAGGCCCTATTCTGAGTAAGCTTCGCCAGTTCAACGTTAGATGCTGCCCACAGGAGGTGGATATACCTGTAAATACGCTCTCCATCCTTCCAATAGTCTTCCGAACTTTTCGGATGTGATAAGTGAACGCGTCTCGGGATTGGCCTCTTCCAAGTAGTCCGAGACCTCCTTGTCTTCCAGGTCCAGACCGGCTAGACAAATTTCGGAAAAGCCTTCTAGTGATCTCGGAAGCGGAACATAGACGTAGCGATGGCTGAACCGACTCTTCACTCGCTTTTCCAACATCTCCGTCACATCCACTTTCGTAGTCAGGCCCAGAACCGCAACGGGGGCCTTCCGCGCTTGCGCAATATCGAACAGATTGTACAGGAGGGTCTGACGTGGGTGAGTGACAAAGAGGTCGAACTCGTCCAATATGATAACAATGGACTTGGCTGCGGTTACGGTGTCTGTATTATTAGAAGCACCAAACAGCTCTTCCGGGTGCGACAAAAGAGCGAGAAGAGTGGCCATCGTGTCTGCGTAGCTGCTTACTTTCCCCGCCTCTTCTTCAGTATTGGTCTCACGACCAAGCTGGCGCCACATCTCACGAAGCGCCAAACGGTCATCTGTATGCAAGAACCCGTTGAGACGAACGACGTGGAAGTCATTGTAGTGTTCTCTTTTTAGCGACGAGATGATAGTCTCGACTATAGCGGTTTTTCCGGAACCTCGTGATCCGAGAAGGAGCAGAGAATTGCCCTCTCCAACGCTGACTGTCTGCTCCACCAGCTGATGAACCTTGTCATACTCACTCTCCAGGCCTTTCAAAGGAATACATCTCTTGCCAGTGAGTTTGTCAAGGATGATCCTAGACAGCACCCCCAGTTCAGCGGTCAAGCCGTTGTACGCCAGTGTCTGCAATGCTTCAGCGTAAGCCGGAAGTGTTTCGCCTCCAACGACAGTCTCATCCTTCCCAACCAAATCATTTTGGGCAAGGTCTTGTTGTAATTGCATTGAGACAAGATCGTCCAATCCATCCTGGTATTCGTCCGGAGAAGGGGACTGCCGCGCCCCGGGTTCCTCATCACCATTCGTATTTGTCTCAGTACCAGTAAACCGCACAGGGGGTCTCCTGGACCGCGTCCTCGTCAGCCTCTCAGTCTGAGGCTCCGATTGCGGCGACTCTGCCTCGTTGTCGTCGTCTTCAGATACATGTCTTGCCTTCCGCGTACTCCTCGGAGTGGCAACGCTTCGTCCCGACGCCGGGGGAGGCCTCCTAGTAGACGCAGGCGTCCCAGTTACCTCGTCTTCATATCGCTGAGGCGCTTTGCGCTGCCGCCCACTCGATCGTAGACCAGGCCTTGAGGCGTCTCTACCCCATTCTCATTCTCCTTGCCCGGTTCCTCTTCCGCGGCTTTCTGGCCTCCCTTTGATGCCCGGCGTCGCGCTGATCGTGAGGCAGTCGGTGACCCTGTGTGTTCGTCGTCCGGAGACTCCTCGTCCCGAGGGGGTTTCTGCGGTGTCGGAGATGCGGCGACCTGATCGCCCATTGCAATATCCCCATCCCCATCGATGATGGGCGCATCAGACACTCTTCTCCGCTTGCTAGCCCGCGATTCCTTCATCATCCAACTATCCGTGATATATACGGACAGACCCGTCGCGACACAGCGGTACCCGGTGGTCCAGGACGTAGGGAGTCCTGCTTCAAGTGAATTATCGCTTTGCGCTTTGCACCGTACAATAGCTAATCCGTTGAATCAAACCGAGTAAACTGAAGTGTCAATGGCACGTCGACCGGGTTTGAGCATCGAAGAAAGCGGGAAGAAAGGGTAGGCTAGATGCGGAGTTGGAAATTATTTTCGGAAGTTTGCGACGGCGAGCGCAATCTGGGGAGATTGTTTCCTGTTAGCGCCTTATCGAGAGAAATACAATCCTAATCTCCGTATATGAAAGATAACTTACGATTAAAACGCGCTTATATAGTAGGGGACGCCTTGGTGTTATGGACATAGATCTTGCGGGCGCCGTCTGATTAGACATGGCGATCTTGTCGCCTGAGGCAGAACGCGTGACGCGCAGTCAGGTGAGATGGGGGTGGTTTTGGTTAGTACCCATGCAGTTTGTGACGATTCGGGGATTCTCCGAGGGACAGTAAGATATCATGAGTTGTACTTTTGCGGTATGTTGAGGGGGAGTTTTCTTGCTGTTGGGATGAAGAGAAGGCCTTGTGAACTGGTTGAGAGGGGTTGGTCGGTTTCTCGTGGTAAAGACGGCTGTAGTATATAATGCTACCGAGTATCTCCTATGTATGGGAGGGATTGTTATACGATGTTTCTGGACCAAGATTCTCTCATATCGGCGAGGCGCCTGCATAGCTAGATGTTTCTATAGTGAGGCTCTAACAGGTTAATATGCTTGATTGATTAACTGGTTGACGACGCTACAGATTCTGTGGTAGTGTTACTGTGAAGCTCTGAGTCCATGTACAGAGATCCAATATATACCCTTGGGATTTAGTAGATGGATTGACGTGTATAAGCCAGTATGATTTGGACATCTAAAACTTTTGGTTTACTAACCATGGAGGATACCTCGGTCCGCTTGCACTATTGAGAAATATATATCCCGTAGACGTAGGTGTCTTCGAGGAGGCAAACAAAACCAACAAGAACAGGATGCTGATTTGCCTCGAGACATGGGCCAGGAAATGCATCCATCAAGCCTCCAGTTCTAACCGCTACCGTCCCAAATAGTGCAACCTGTGGAGACCAGCAAATATGATCAAATAGTTGGTTGAAGTTGAAGGCTCATAAGCCAACCGCGTCCAACCTCGGCTATAATTTAGAGTCTACCTCTAGCTGTTCTTCCTCCGCGTATAGCTGCCGGAGTACCACATCCTTCTGTACATACAAATAGGCACTCTCCGCTCAAAAGTCCCGTAAAATCATAGACTTTTAACCTTACTTCTCACCATATTTTTTTTTCGGGATTCTATTAATACGTTCACAATGCCAGTCCGCGCCCCAGACAGGAAATTAGATGACTTCGAGGACCATGTTTATCATTGCGCCAACGGTATAAACGTAGAAAATGATGAAGAGGTGTCGTCCCTCCCAAAAGCCTACTCTATATATCCGTCGCTGATTAACCTAGCGCTGGGACATCGATTCGATTGCTGCCGATCTCCGCTTTGAATCCGCAACTCGGGGTCCCCCAGCCCGGGTTTCATACCTGTTGAATGTAACCCCCAAGATGTGTAATGCGGTGGGAACACTCCACGGGGGCTGCGCTGCGACGTTGATTGATACTCTGTCGACTACGATCCTCCTGGGTCTCTCTAAGCCGGGATACTTCTCCTTGGGTGGAGTGAGTCGGAACCTCAGAGTCACGTACCTGCGTCCGCTCCCTAGTGGCATGGAGATCCGACTAGTATGCGAGGTTATACACACGGGGAAGCGGTTGGCGCTGCTGCGGGCGGAGATCCAACGAGCTGATACTGGCGCGGTCTGTGTGGTGGGTGAACACGAGAAGGCCAATACGGATCCGGAGGGGGTTGGGAGGATCTGATTCTACGGTCATACACGTGTTGGGTTTCTTCTTTACGCTGTGGTTAGAATATACCATGTAGAATGAGCATGATGACTTGAATCTGCAGCATTACATCTTTTTATTGATGGTCTGGGTTGGACAACCGAGAAAGCATAACACCGGACCCTCAAGATCTTCAGAGGCACCCGGTGTCTACTGATCTTATGGGTGCAATATATACCAAAAGTAGAGGGGATGTACTGTCTCCAAGATTGCCATGTCTGGAGGATGCAAAAGAGGATAAGCAAAGGAAAAGAAAGTCCAAAAGGAATTATGGCTCAACTTAAAACATCCAAAGCAACGATATATTACCTAATTCTCAAATGCGACGACAGCGTATTTACTCCTGGGCAAGTCGCTGATCCTCCCGGAGGCCTTCAACGACGAGCTCCTCACCTGTCGCACGGCGATAGATGTCACGGACATCGGCTGATTTCATGTTAGTCTACCCCAGCCTAGCTTTCTTCATCCCTCCCCCTTGGGGCTATGAAGAAGTGACTTACCTGTTGTGGTTTCAAAATGAGATGTAGCATCGTAGCTCTTGGAGATAAAGATGTTGTCATTCTCACCACTCTCCAGAGGCTCGTAGAGCGGGATGGGGGGACCAAAGAACTTCTCCTCGATTTCACCCAAACGCTCAAAGCCAGGCTCCAGCTCAATGTGATGGTTAGCATCAGACTCGGCAATGGTCGAGACGATAGCGATATAGTAGCCCTTGGGGCAAACGTTGTGTGCCGATGAAACCATAGCGATGTAGATATCTAGACGGTGTCAGCAAAGTTGTCGTTTTCATCCTTCAAGTACTGTGAACACTGACCGTGCTTTCTTCCAACCTGCGACTGGGGAATGATCAGCTGCAGCGAGTCGCTACCGTCCGTCTTGTCGATGGGGTGCTTCAGGATACAGATCGCCTTCAGCAAGTATCCGGTAACCTTGGCCTTGCTAGGGAAATAAGATGGGTCTGCCAGAATTTTCTTGGTCTTGGTGGTGAACTTCATAGTCTCGCCGTTGTCATCCCGATCCTTCATGGTCGCCTTGATTCCAGAAACCTTGCCGTTCTCATAGAGGACCTCATCGATGTTGGTGTTAAGCATGTAGGTACCTCCATAGATAGCAGACAAACGAGCGAAGCCCTGAGGGAGCTCGCCCAGACCGTAGAGTGGATAGATGTAGGGCGACTTGCCGTAGCGGGCCATAGAGTTCACGTACAAGCGGATGCGGTTAATGGCATCGGCGGCCATTCCGCTCTTTCCAATATACTCATCGGACTGGTATAGGGCCATGGAGTGGCCAATGAAGTCACGGGTGTTATCTTCCAAGCTGAACTTGTCATAGACTTCCTTCATGGTACACTGAGCAATGTTCAAGCCTATACCATGTTAGCAGTCATGACAACGTAAGCATCCCGTTCCATATCACGAACCCTGGTGAGTGCTAGGATCGTCCTCCTTGAATTCGCCAACCCATTCGAGGAATTTCTTGGCTCTCCGCTTCTCGAACATGCCCATGAGAGACGAGCGAAGTGCTTCTTGGGCATCCGAAGGAACCTTCGCCACAGTGGCCTTAGGACTCTTTCCTTGTTGGACGTAGCTACCAGCAATCTGCTTGAACTCGAGGTAACGTGTGACATCGGTGGAAACCAGGATATTCGTCAGCTCGCCGTTGGCCATCAGCAGCTTGGGGACCAGGTCGATGTTCCAGTCATTGACCCGTCCATACTTCTTCCAGGGCTCTTCACCGGGGCGGACGTTGCCATATTTCTTGAAAAGCTGCGCAGCGATAAAAGAACAGAATTAGTACCTCGAGCATATAGTGTGTTTATCAATACTTACTGTTTCGATGTTCACGGAAGCAGCCTCTCTGTTTCGAAAGATTAGCGGGGGGTGACGTGTGACGGGCGGAATAGCTTCCCAGCACCAGCTGTCAGAACAACTTACCCTCCGTAGTGGTCATTGCGATCGATGTGAAGAACTTTATTTCCCTTGACACTCAGAACACTATATATTGATCAATAAGTGACCCAAAAATGTCGTTGGGGAATAGAAGAGAGTGCATACCCAGAAAGCACACACTCAGTCAGACCTGAGAGGGGTGTTAGTCCAGCTTGTTGAACGGCGGGGTAGCAGCTTAACAGCACGTACCAGTGCCGAGAACAACAACATCATATTCGGGGGCGATCTCATCCATGGTGGAATATGATGTGGGATATTGCGAGAGGCGGGAAGTAAAAAGAGGTTCAATGTAAATGAGACTAAACAAACGTTCAGTGGAAAAAGGAGAGTGAAATGGTGAAGGTGGGAGGATGCGGAGACGGAGAATGAATGAATGGGAGCGGTGAGTTTGTGTTTTGAAAGGAGGTCCTTCAACCTTCTGGGTCAGGCCGTTAGGTAGTCTAGTCTAGTCTATTACTATCCCCCGCGGATCACTCGTGAGCAATGATTTATTCTTATTATTATTACTATTCGGTACCCTCTTCCCCCCTCAGCTAATTAAAGGATCCACCGATCCAAATAACCTCCCATCTCAGTGTGATAGTTAAGGAGTCGGGTTTTCCAGAATAGTCATCGAATATACTAATTCTCTTACTATTACGGATCCTGGGAGAAAAGTTAATAAAAGAAAGGGAAACGAAAAAGAAAATATACACTAAAGAGGATAAAATATAATAAAACCATTAATCTAAATACGTAAACCTCCTGAATCGCTCTGAGTTACCCCTTTTCCCATCGGATGAACTTAATAATCTGTGGAGATCGTGGACTCCAAGGAGTATATAGATGCCAATTATTATATACACATAAGTACCTTTGCTTTCACCCCTAATCGGACAACTCCTGCACTATTAAGTCAGAAGGTGTACGATCTAGACTCAGTGACAAATCCTTTCCCCTTTTCGGTACTCATCTCCATAAAGCATCGGAACTAGTTCACAAATCATATAGAATCAATTGGACTAATACAGAGTGATAATACTACATACACAGAACCAATCCGAGACAGGATCTCTTACAGCCCGTTTCTGGTAACTGTAACGCTCTATCTAGATTATGCCGTGCTCGATGCCTCTTCAGCACCCTCTTCCTGTGGCCGGTAACCACTGTTGTACAATTTCTGGGCGTCTTCCCAAGCATACCATCTTTCCCGAAGAACATGCTTGATACTCTTTTGCGTAACACGGATCTATCCGGGGCAAACGTTAGTGTCCAGATCTCAATGTACGCGCCTAAGCCCCATATATGGGATGGAGCCTCGCAATTTCCATAATATGAGTATGCTGAATCAATGTCCAGTACCGCGTCGCCAATGTATGGAGGCATATAATATTGCAAGGCTTTGTACGTGGGGAAAGAACTCACCGTCCGGTCCCGATTGTCAAGCTCCCATTCTCCGTAACCTGCCTTCAGTCGCTGTCTTTCCAGCTGAGAAGTGGCTATGCGATTGCGTTCCTTGACACAGACCCACCAAAGAGCATGGAGATCCTCCCAGGACTTCTCACGGAGTTCCTGAATTGACCAGGACCGACCTAAACAATTGATGGTGAGCATCACCCTGTGCCTAGTAGATCCTCTTTTCTTTTTTTTGGCCCTCCCTCAACAAAGCCCGACGGAGAGTGGACTAACCATGCGCATGATCGTATTTCGGCGTGCTAAGTGCCTGGTGGTCCGGAGGGAAGAATCCCCAAAGGCCATGATCCGGGGTAGGATGACGCTTCTCGAGGGTTTCCGGCGAGACAGGCTTGGGCAGGGGGTATTTCGAAACGCCCAATTTAAACTTGGGGCCGGTATGGTGGATGGCGGACACACCGCGTGATTTGCTCAGATCACGTCCATGGCCAGCGGCGACAGCGGTCGACGAAAAGTTCGAGCACTGAATCCGGGAGAAATGAAGGGACGGCGCAAGGTAAGGAGGAGGCAATTCGGCCAGCGGAAGGCCCCCGCACTGGCGAGCAAGTCGCGCAACCGATTGGCGATGCATTGTGGTTTGGAGGTAGCGGCCTTCAAGAAGACTCGTAGAACACCTGCGGTTCCGACTCAAGAAGCTAACGGAACGAGTGGACTTTTCGGCGGGTAAAACACGTGACTCAACAGCCGCTTGCCGTGTGACACGCTCCGTCGCGGCAGCCTACTGCGGTTCTGTTCCAGGTCCATTGGGTTTTGAGTAATTGTCAAGTGCGCTTCATAGTATCGACACGCATCCGGTTCTTCTTTGTTTCCGTATAAAACTATTGCCAGGTGTGGGACGGGACTCGAAAGCTACTAGAACAGTGTAACAGGATCGTTCCCCAATCAGATGATCAAGAAGAGATAATGAAATCGGGTTAAGCCTTCGGTCATATTGTTTATCTTGAATATATCTATGGGTCAGTTTTAAACCAAGCAAATGAGCGAGGGTTGGTCCTTGAAAAGAGACCTTCACATCTAGAAACCTTACCAGTTATGGAACTAAGCTGCGCCAAATGGCGGCTAGGATGGTCCGTGCACGCCAGGAAGCGCGCGTTTGCAGCCACTCCACCTTCCAGTATCCGTCGCATGAGAGTGGGCAGAGATCCTCGAAGCACTGGTGATTTCAATACCTCCCCAGACTCTTTGTGTTAACTTTCTCTTGGTTTTCCGAATTACAATATTTATTTTATAGACAGCCTTTGGAAGCTTGTATCACATCATGAATAGGCCAGGTTTGTCAATTCCCTTTCTTCTCTTTGTACTGTCCATGTCCCGGTGTTGGTATAGCCAGCCACAGAAGTGATTTCCTTGGATCAACCTCTATATGCCGATATGCTATTGTCAGTATATCTGTGGTTACTTCAAAAGTTTGCTCGTGAACAGGAAATGTCTTATCTTCACCTCAGCATTGCGCCAGTTGTAGAGATTCACAATATGGCATCTTGACCTGCGACCGGGCGCCTTGGAAGACCTTATCCACCTCGGCAGCTTGAACGAAGAGATCACGAACCTTTTTTGTTTGAAACTTGTGAATTCACCTATGATATGCTGACTCTTGTTACTATTGACTAGGACCAGGCCCACAACCTCTCCGGGGTATGTCTGGATTCCCCGCACAGCAACAAGCACAAGCTCGAAATGCGACTCTGGCATCGGCGCGTTTGCCAAACGGAAAACTAGGTGCGATTAGCTCGGAAGTTATAATTCGGTATCATTACAGCCTTGGAAGCTAATGGAGGAAGGCGAAATAGGGAGCGGTGCTGCTTGGAATTTCAACCTGCCTGTCAGCGGAACCCCAGGAATCCAGAGCAATCAGCAACGCAGTATGGGGAATATTGGGTCTTTTGCACAAAGCCTCAGTGGGTCGCAGCCTGCTACACCTCTTGATTTATCGTGAGTGTGACCTCGCCTGTTTTCTCTCCTCGAGGCTTCTCCGTACACAAGAGACACGGAAACCTTTCTTGACTACTAATGCTGGGAGTTTGTCCGCTAGCGATTTCCCTTCCCTATCCGGAGCACCCCCACAGTCTCAAGCTCAAAATCCGGGGCACTTAGTATGGGCGAATGCCAGCCAACGAGCCATGCAACAGACCCCTGTCCAAAGGCAGCAACTCCCTACGTCTCAAGCACCTTCACGACCACTTCAAACGCAATCCCACCCCCAACAACCATCTCAACCGTCGCATGATGATGTATTCCCATCTGGAGCTCAGTTTGCCAATCGCCTCGATGACTATAGAAACGGCGGACAGGGCATCAGCGGCCAGTTAGGTGCAGGCACACAGCCGCAGACGGGCAATATTGAGGAATTTCCTCCTCTGGGGCGCAACGTTGCCGCAGAAATTGGTCAAGATCGCAGGGGATCTTTAATGCAAAGTGCAGGATTTGGTAGTTACAACGCTGGCTTACCGCTTTCCGGCGCAAGCCAAGCCCAATCCACGCAGAATCGCAACGCAATATCAGCATCCATAAACGGGCAGGAAAGAATAATGTCACCTGCCAATGCGGGACCAGGAAGTATGTTTGTTGAGGTTTTCCTTTATTGGCTGATGAAAGATTAATCATTCCCAGGTATTGGAACGTCACGATCGCCCGTCAACCAAGCCTCCAATGGGGTGTCGGGTCAAGAGAAAGAGGTTCGGCCCTCAACATGAAGGTTGCATGTATACCGGCTTACGATACTTTGCGCAGGACTTGAATAACGCTGTGTTGTCAACCCAGCGCAATTTTACGGAACAACAGTCCGCTTCCGGGGAGACACAAGAGGCTTCTGGAGCTGCCCAAAGTGCGGAGCAACCGCCACTAGGCGAGATGAGCGAGCTTGATAAATTCGGGCTAGCAGGTCTTCTGCGCATGATTCACAGCGATAGCCCGGATGTCGCCGCTCTTGCAGTAGGTCAGGACCTGATGACATTAGGCTTGGACCTGAACCAACCGGAGTATGCCCATGTTTACTAACCCCGTGCTTTGTTTGCTCAACTAAAATTTGCTAGACCTTTACACACATCTTTCGCTTCCCCTTTTGTTGCATCCATGACCGGCGTGCCCTTGGAACAGGACTTTGCGCTGCCTTCTTGTTACAACGTTGCCAACATCCAACCACTCCAGTCACGTATTGCCAGCTTTAGTGACGAGACATTATTCTACATCTTCTATAGCATGCCGCGGGATATTATGCAAGAAGTTGTGGCCGAAGAGTTAATGGGCCGCAAGTGGAGATATCACAAGATTGAGAGGTGTTGGCTTACCCGTGATGAAACATATCCTGGTCCCGTCGATGTTGAGCGCGGCGTCAGTGAACGAGGCATATACCTAATCTGGGACCCTGCCACCTGGAAAAAGATCAGAGTACGATAGGACCCATTCGCAACCAAGCTTCCCCTTCCCCGTGCTAACGAAAACCTTGCCGGCAGCGCGAGTTCATTCTCCGATATGAAGATCTTGACAACAGAATGGACCCCAACAGGGGACTCGCACGTGTTGGATTCCCACAACATGGCTCATGAATATCCTAGAGCAGCATGAGATGGGAGTCAGCCACGGCGTTGGGGTCTCATCCATTGTATGGTTGAGTCAGTGCTGCCAGTGATTCCAAGCCACCAATTGTTCCTCAGAACATGAGTGGATATATGCTAAAGCAAATGACTATTATGATCTTGTCACTCTTCGCACCCAAGCAGATAAGCTAATACTGGCACTGAATACTATGACTTGAACAGAATACAGTCATGCATAATCTACCACATATTGAGCTCCAAGAAAGACAACTACCAAGGCTTTGGCCCGTAGCTAGAATAAATTTATACTTTAGCCGTGTCGGTGGCTTCATGTATACCTTCGCCCCGAGGCAAAATGGCTAACAATGTTATCTCTACAAAAACATAGGTAGAACTCATCTCAGGGCTCAGACCCTCTGACTTTTTATGCAGCCGCTGCTTAAATAGTCAGACAGGTTATGTCCATAAATGGACACACTAGTTATAGCACCCTAAAGGACTATTCTTTATGCTATTAAACTCTGGAGACCAAGGCAGCGGGAACAAGCAACAAAGTATACACGTGACTTGCTAGTATCTTGATTCACTCTTTGATGCCGCATGTGAGCAAGATATTTCCAGAATCCAAGTCTCTTCCGCCGGCAAGATGATCAGATGCGATTCGAGTGTCCTCTCCATCCTTCACCCAACTCTCAGCAGTTAGGGCATGTACCCAATTAGCCAGTTGTTCTGATCTTGGAGACTTAAAGGACACCACTCTTCTTTCTTCCCAACATCCTTCGAAATCGAAAAGGGTTGTTCGACACGTGAGGGTGGAGACAAGCCACGTGAAATTATAGTCCGCATCAAGTAGTTAAATATCAAATCCACTACCCTATTACTGCCTCGCATATTTTTATGATGAATGAGCTATTCAATACTATTAGACCCTGTCTTGTCCGAGTCTCATCGTGAGCCCAATTTCCTTCAGCCGATACCGGTCCTCACAAATGTGCCACATAATATAGCCATTCATAAAATCCTTCCAAAGCTTCCCAATAACACCGTCTTCGCCAATCCCATTACTGACAGCATACATAGTCTCAGCTGTTTCCCTGCACATTTGCTCTAGCACATCATGAGGGCTGCAACATGAGGTACGAGCTCTGTTCATGATATTTGTGTTCATCTCAGTTCCAACCACAGATTCCTTGAAAAACGATAGAATATCATTCACATCGTCAATGAGGTCCAGCATACATGCAATGAAGGGCACATAGGTCGGCAAATGCCCGGTTTCTTCTGCAAGGTGCTCAGGAAAGATGAAATGGGCGTACACTTCCCCCGCCCCAGTCTTGTCACGGACAAATTTGGATGCTCTTTGACCAAACTTTGCTGGAAGATTCAGGCCTGCAGCAAGATTTGCTTCAACCGTATTCCCCAGCATGAAGTCGACGAGACCTTTGGTAATGACCCCAGTTGAATATGGGCCATAGAACATTCCGGTTTCAGTCGCAACGAGCTCCAACCACATATTAACAACAGTGTCGTCGCACTTTAAAGCATGGAGCCCATGGTAGGCACCGGATGAAACTCTCTGAAGATCGGGGAGGATCTGTTCAAGGTCCTGTTCTGCTTTGTCGTCCACATAGAGAAGAAAAGTGGTGTAGAGCGCAATATATCGTTTCAACTGGTGGCTAGCATGCGGATACCACTTGTCCGCGGCGCTGGTACATGCTGGCAAGAGCTTCCAAATGCGGCTCAGTTGGTGCTCCTGGAGATTCTGAGAAATGATATATTCTTCGAGCTCCGCGTAAAGTTTTGTGTGAAAAGGCCGGACTGCCTGCTGAAGGTCAAACCCAACATCATGCAACCAAGTTCGAAGGATTTCCTCTGTCTGCTTGTGGAGGCCTGTCATGCTTTTATGGAGTCGCCTTGGGCAGAAAAGAGACTTGGAGAATAGAGAAACAATGTAGGGCTTTGTTCATATGTGAGGAAGAAATATACTGGTAGGGGTGTTGTAAGGTAGAATAGGATAATCTATATTCTGAAGAAGCGACTTGTTAGGATTAGAGTAAATAAAGATGTAGAAAGGGAAACCTCTGGTAGTTGTACCGGCGGTATACTATATAGATGTCATCCAGGGTATTCTGAACCGTAAAGGTAGATTCAGAATTATCTGACCTTTTGGCCTAGTGTCGAGCGTTCACGCGTGTTTGCCTCGTTCCCACACCCTCACAGTAGTAAATAGTTTTCAGGCTTGAAACTCTGATAACAATATTATAATGTATTATGATATACAGTATAACTATACTTTTCCAAGCTCTCCTTACTTATAGACTTGTAAGTTAGAACTTAAAATATATTGATATACTATAACTATACTTCTCCTCACATACAAATGTCAGAAGAATACCTCCTAAACAGGGTAGAAGATCTACCAACTACGTAAGGGTACGTAGGCAGTAGATACTATCAAGATAGAATACCGATTCTTGCTTCTTTTGCATTATCAATAAAGTGGTAGTTTACAGCCAAAGATTTCCCCTTATTCTTCGGAAAGAATCAGACAGATATTGGGGGGGGGGGGGGGGGGGGACTATCGTACGTTATTGAAGAGGCAGCGAGTCTGGATTCCCAATATCGCTGTTCGACTGCTGAGATGTCTATGCACAGCGGACTGGTGATACGATACAGTCATCATGCAGAGTCGTCATCGGATCTGTGACAATAAACTTAGAAGTTGGAATTTAAAACATATTGATATACTGCCACTATACTTCTTCTTGGCAAGCTTGGAACTCAGTTCCTCCAAGGTAACTACAATATCTTGAAACTCTAGACCTTACCTATCTGGTATATTTCTTTTTAACTTAATCGTACGATAGATCTTAAAGCTAGCGTTGAAGCTAGTGTTTATTAACTTTAGAAGGCGGAGTAGTAGAGTTATTATCAACCTTATTTAGAGTCGGACTTACACAGTTTTTAACTATTTGAGATCTTGGGGCTTTTTTTATTTAGCTTTAAGTTCAATAGTCATCATGCACTGCGCCTGGAGAAGTATACCGACAATGTTGTCCTCGGCACCTCGAAGTCACGCGCTGTTTTTGAGTTATTCGATTTTTCTTCTTCTTCTTCTTGTTATATATGCGTCGAGCGCTTTTTCAATTCTATCCCTTATTGTATAT